AGAAATTATGAAACATAGTTGTAATATCATCATTACACATTTTGGAAGAACTCTGTCAAATTTTGTTTTTCTTCTTGACTTCCAATGGAAATAGTAAATTTGAATTTTACTAAGAAACTCTCTAAAAAAACGAGTAGATATTTAATTTCTTGAGCACTTAAGGTTACGTATAACAAGCATAAAAATATTGTATAACGTCCCTAGGGAGGGCAGATGTTGAATTCATTTTATAATACTTCGCACGTTTTCAGAGGAACACAATAGAATTATAACGATTTGTATATAGGTAAATCTTTATTCCGTTATCACTGTCGATTAACTAATTTTAATTTATTTAGTTTAAAAAAAGATCAAATAAACAAAAACAAACAAAAAGTGGAGAAAAATTGAGTTTCCTTTTCGGAAAAAGTCGTCCTTTTGGGAAGGACATATTTTTCTAATAGTTTCATAAAAGATGCTGTACTTTTTCAGACCCATTTGATTTGCCAAAGTGCATTTCAAAAACTCTAAATGATGCGATATTTGTGGATTGAAAAAGACTTTTTAAGTAGTTGCCAAGATATTCTGCGTTATGTGCGATGAAACAGCTCTAGTTTATGAGTTGAGTGACGAGTATGTGTAAAATGAGTGATGAGTGTATGTAAAACTGATGACTTGGAATTACAAAAAGTAGCTGTTTAAAAATATCTTGGGCTTGTCGTAGACAAGTCAATGAACTGAAAGAAGAATCTGGATAAAATAGCAGAGAGAGTATATATATCATGATTTCAGTTATTTACTAGGTGTAAACCATATTTTGCCAGCATAAACGGTTACTTTGAATACATTCTTTTTGAAACATTTTATTTATTTATATCTTTAAAAAAAATAGAGAGAAAAAAGAAAATTCTATATTTAAAAAAAAAGAGAAATGTAAAACAAATACAATTCCTATGTACGCAAACGAAATACATGATTACTATACTACAAATAGAAATAATTTGTATTTGGAGTGGCAGTAGAACTAACATGGATTTATATACTAATATGCAATGTGTTCTAAATGATACATTTCTTGAAAATTTGAAAACGAACGTAATTAATACCGAAAATTGTTGTAAGTACCGGATGTTTAGTTGAAGATTTAGCGCAGAAAACTGCTTTTATAGAAAATAATTAATTAAGATGGGGTATATTTAATAAGTTTATTTGGAAGTCTAGAGACGTTTCTCATTCTAGTTGACACCACAACTAACCAAACCGTAACCATTTTTTTTTATAATTTTCAAACCACTCTTGATTTTTCAATGACATTTTGTACGCTGCCTTCCAGCAACAAAAAACATTATTATACAAACTTCAAAAAAATATTGTGAAACTTCTTCTTCGTTCAGGAAAAGGCAGAAGATCAAATACTTCTCTCTCTTACTTTGGTAAAAAACAGGGGTGCAGTATTCTTTTTCGCATCAAAAAATGTCTTTTGCTTCTCGAAGGCAGTGTAGAAAATGTCAATGAAAATCTAGAGTGGTTAGAAAATTATTATAAAAAATAGTTTTTTTCTAGTAATTTCAACCATGTAACTCGGAAAGGAAGGAAAGGAAAAATTTGTTGCATAAATTTTGCATATTGGCACATATATATTCTATATATATTTCACAAAAAAAAAATTCATTCTCGTTATTTTTTACCACCCAACAGCCTTTATTTAGACCAACTTTAAATAGCAAGAAAAAAAAAGCACACTGCATACACCCGTTGTCTTCAATTTGAATAAAAAAGCTCCATTTATACTTCGATTCGCAACCCGAATTATATCAACAAACGGATAATTAAAGTTTGTTTATTCAGAGAATTCCGACCTTTGTTACGAATTTATTACGACTCATTTCGCGCACGAGGCACAGCAACCGAGCCAATTTACGTTCTGCTAGTTTTATGCCAGAGTTTATTTGCATAAATTTCCAGAAAACATGAATTCCCTTTATAAAATGCGTGTTTGAGGGGACGAAACATTTTTTCGGAAGATAAATTTGCTTACTTAAAATGAATAACAATAACAGTAACACATAACTAACACGGTACAAAGACATGTAAAAAACATACCATTAACATTTATTAGAAACTGAGTTTAATTTTAAAATTCTTAACCGGCTCTAGGTTATTAATTTCAGTTGGCACTAAATTAAAACTATTCATTCACTCAGGAGAGTTCTGTTCGTAGCCTAGACCAGCCGTTCCCAAACTGGTCCAGGTGACTCAACTTGGGTCTACGTTGGCGTGAATTTATATAGATTATGGTGGAAATGTAGTTACAAAAAAAAGTCTGGTAACTACTGATCTAGAAGATTAATGGGTTTACCGCAATTACATGTATTATGAGTAATTCTTTTATCATTTCATATAAATCGGTGTTTGTTTCTAAAAATGTGAATGCTGTGAAAGAATAGTCAGAATAAGAATCGGAGCCAAAGTCGACAAAGGCAAGCCGATCATGCTTCAAGGGCCCTTTTCTGATTTTTGAATACACCTTCTGCTGCGGAGGAAACCCCGTGTCTTCGGGATGAGTTGATTTTTTAAGATAAATTGTCACCGTGGTTTTTCCACTGACATGTTTTGTTGGGGTTATGGAATTGGAAATAATTTATTTTAGTTCTGTTTAAGTACAAAGAATTTTGACAAAACCACTTGAATAGTTCATGAAGATTTGCATTCATTTTTACTTCCAGTTGCTTATAATCTTTTAGAGAGAAGATATAACCACCATCGCGAACTTTATAGTCATATAGGCAAGATCACGGCATTTAAAAATGTAGATAATAAAGAAAAATGGTCTCGGGCGAAACCATGAGGCACTCCTATCGTGACGTTAAGTATCCCTGATGTAATTTTGTTGTTATTCGAATTGGTTTTATCTCTCATTTCAACATATTGTTTTCTATTATTGAGATAAGACGCTGCCCAGTTATGTGCTTTATTCTTTACTCCGTAGTAATCAAGGCCAATCAACTCGTCAATTCTCATGGTCTACGAAATGAAATTCCTTGCTGAGGACGCAACAAACCCCAACAGGACACTCCTTCTTACTACCCTATTCTATTTATAGATAGTTATATAGTTCTCTAACCGATAACTAAGAAGGGCCATGATGTACCAAGATGAAATATAGTTTCAATTATGGTCTGGGATATCCCAAAGAATTTTTAATTAGAAACCTTTGCAACTTAACAAAATATTTAATTTTATTTGGCGTGCGCAGATATGGAAAATTTCTTAATTTCATCGTTTATTAATTTAAATACAATTGTTTTAATTCCTCAAGGCAAACAAACCTGTTTTAAATACAAAATGTCAGTGGTTCTTATGTCGTTTTTTTGAGAAAAAACATTGACCCTTTAAAGAAATACTGATATACAATTTAGCTTCGTTGTAAGCAATATAATAATTTTTGTGTTGGAATTCGCCTGTGTATGGCATTGGAAAAGTCATTAGGCAAGCTAAAAAAATGGCTCTATAAAGTGTTGAATTCAACAGTGGTTTGGTTGGGTAGTTTAGAGTCTCTAAATAATTCTAGCCCAGATTTCTCGCCAATCACTTTATTTTTATAGGTCACAAGGGAGAGGAAATCTTATTTAGGCTTCATGTTTTTAAATACTTATAATCCTTTTGCCGTAAAAAAAAAAACATGAATTAGGAGTTTCGGATACTATACGTATTTCGATATCTATATTCATAAAAGAAATAAAATTAATTTTGGAGATATTTTGTGCAATAAATATACATACATATTTAAAATAATAAAAGTGATAAGTTTCCGTTTAAACAAGAAAGTTGGGGTGATGTTTCAGGGATAAGTTTTGGTGTGTACATTTTGTTTGGGTACTATAACATTTTTATGGCTATGTTAAGCTGAAGTAGTTTAAAAAGTAGATAACACTAACCATAAATAAAAACAATTTGCTATTAACATACAAATAGTTTAAAAAAAAGTTGCATGGAATCTGTTTTTAATGAACTCTCTATCAATTATTTAATTAATTCATATTTTACTCTGTATATGTTGTTATAGCCTTATTTTGTCCTGTAAAATAAATAATAATAACATAACATACTGACCTCACTGCTAGAAAATCTTCATATCGTATTTCTTATATTATTTTTTGGTATAATGTAGTGTAAAATGTGTAACGGGACACTTCACATTTAAGCTACATAAATACAATACCAAATTGCATGCGTCAAAAATAGGGTAAAAAAATTCAAAGCGAAGCTCAGGCGAGGAGGAACAAAGCATGATCGAATATACCGACAAAAATAAATTTAAAATGTTTGGCAACAAAATCGAACGCTGAAATGAAACTTGTTTATTTAAACGATACCTTCTTTTCGAAAAATCTAGTTTACTAGAAAGCTTCAGTTCAAAGTCTGCGTTTGTTATAGGAAGTGATCGAAATTATTTGTCACCACAATTCAAATTTTGACTACCCCCACCTAATTTTTTAGGGGGAGCAAATTCGGTTATATTTTGAAGAAACACACAATATTGTCCATAAAACAGTGAATATTAGAGGAAGCCTTTGTTATTAGGTTAAACTTGAACTTAAAAAAATATGAAGTAAATTAATAATTAATTAAATTAATAAATAATATTTTTGAAATTCTGCAACTTGAACCCGTTCCGCATTTTTTGATGTAGTAGGACAAGCAGAGAACTGCGTTAAAATATTTAAACTAAAATATGAATAAAGCATCTCAAAAACTTTTCAGTTCAATTTTGGGAAGCATTTACACTCGTTCGTAATGCTAATTGTCTCTAATTTAATAAATAATGTTATAATATATATAATAAAATAATTAAATTATATAGTACTTAATAATAGATTAAGTTAATATTTAGGATGTCATACCGATTTGGTTTTTGTCTTGAAATCGTTCGCGCCATAACAGTTAAAGATATATCGAAAAAAGGTATCGTTTCGAAGAAAAAATCTCTACAACACGGAAACTTCAGAAGTGCGACTCACCACAGCCGAATCGGAGTTGAGGTAGCGGTTGGTTGCGGAGTACCCAACCCACGGACGGATTTTGTTTTCGATCCAGTCGTACTCCCGTTGGAGTACCGACGGCCGCGTCGCGTAAACTTTCGGCGGACTCGTGACCACCGTCAGCCTTTTGTGCCCCACGTACGGTACCAATCGGTCGTAAGAGTGCACGACATGTACCTATAGAACAACATTGTTTAACCATAATAATAATAGCTATAACAAATCTACTTTAAAAAGAATGAACGGCCAATGGCTAGTCATACTCAACACTATCGGGACACCACAGGACTCAAAGTATACAAATAAAAATTTAAACATATAAAAATTAATTTAGTAGTTAGCAATCGGCAAGGTGTAATTTGTCCAATAATTAAAACTACCCACCAGCTAGTGCCTGGCATTTCTTTCTCTAAATTTGGTAAATCATTGATAAGTATCCCGCCCGTAGGTCTGTGAAAATAAAAATATTTTAGATAAAAAAAGTGATAGAAAATTTAATGTGAATCTATTCTTTTGGAAGATCCAAAATTTTTGTTTGTTAATTTTTAAGTAAATGATTAATTTTGCTATTCTACATGGTAAGAAGTTTTAATCAGTAATTTAAGGTGACCTAAATGTGATCACTATTGTTTACAGTCATCACCAGCAGTTTTATGAAAAGCTATCACAACCATCAAGAGAAAATGTAAAACCTGGCTTAGGTACCCTGGCAATATCTTCATCATCTGGAGCCACAACTTGAACGTTTCTCTGTCTCATATCAATGATACGTGGACAACAAGCAAGTACCTTAATGCCACTGCCTAGAAAGGCTCAAAGACTATGCACAACACTAGATTCCCAGAAAGAAATCAACAAAACAAATGTAAAATAATAAATAATTAAAGATATCAACCAGCCGAGTAAGAAGTGAGAAAAATACTCAGCATATCATATGTCAGAAGATTATCAGAACACACTGTGCTGTGCGCTCACTAGAACGAAACCCTCTGAGCAGAAAAAACAAAAATGACTGCATAATAAAGTTCAATTTCAGTGCGGTGAGAAATACAATGAGGAAACTTGCAGACCTATGGAAATTCACATTAAGGAACACAGAAATAATCAGAAGCAACAATAGATTTTAATGAACAACACTGACGCAAGAGGAAAATGAACAAGGCTTGTTCTGATCCAGGGAAACAAAGACGCCATAGCAATCCATAAAGAATATCGACATACTACGTAATAAAAAATAACGGACCCGTGTGACATTCCAGAAAGTGCTCGGCAATAGTCTGAGAAAAAGAGAAATTGCCCTTATTTGTTCCATTATGAGGGAAGCGTATGAAGCCTTAATCACTTAATGAGTAAATTTGTTTTATTTAACGCTTTAGTTCACTCTTTCTATTAAAAAAATACCCACCCTAGTGAATATATTTTATATTGATGAGGCGTGGATTATTGAAGATTACTGGAAGCGAAACGAAGAGTTATTTTTAAAAGTAAGTTTGCTTTCTTTAGCTTTCAATCGCGTAATGCAGAATATTACTACGAAGATGTGAATTATGTGAAGTAACACAAGCTATTTTTGAATTAGAAGATAATGTGATAAGGAAAGAACTATTACATAAAGGAAATTTACAGAAACATTTTATGAAATACACATACACAGCAGAAAACATAATGTAATCACACTGTCATATCATTGCGAACTAAATCCTATACATAGAACTTGAATGGAATGCAAGTAAAAGCATTTATTTGTAGTAAGATACAACACGACAGTCAAATGAAAGACCTAAGCTATTAATTTTTCAAAGAAACTTAGACAGGCTACTGTAATACTGAAGTTCGACTCAGGAAATTCCGACGCAAGGGGAATCCAGAAGTTTTGTAAAAAATACCTAAGCTATTATTTGATCAAGCCACTTTCAATAGCCCATAAACTGATTCATTCCTGGGTGGTGCTACCTGCACAAAAACAAATAAAATCTAAAAAATAAATAATTTTGCAATGGTAAACAGTGAAAGTGGCTTAATTATTCATTCATCACTCTGTAGTCCCTTTGCGCAACGATTAATTTTTTATTATTTGACTCCTTTCTGAAATAGATTATACCTAACCATTTTTAACCATAATGCCTTAAAATTAACCCAAAGTGTAAAACATTAAACATATATGAAATTTTGTTAGCGAAATTGGTAAGTTTTTTTTGTGTTAAATAGACCATTTTACAAAACAAACAAAGCAAAACGTTACATGTCCGATAAATGAACCAGACACCTTTTGCAATGACCCAATTCAAAGTCTGAAAACAAAAACCGCTGTCGATGTCATAATTCATAACTGTCCTTCCTGCAGGTGTCTCTACACATGTTGTTAGAGTGAGTGGTTTTTCTTAAGTGTACAGGTAGTGCTGTGATCCCATAGTGATAAACAGAGTGAAAAATGGGAAAAGTGATCGCGAAACGATCTATGAATAGATCCCAAAATTTTTGTTTCATCAGGACTTTTAGGTATCAAAGATCAGTGGTTCTCAAATTTAGTTTACGGCACACCTGTTTGCACTTACACAGTATATAAAATGTGTCTAGCGGCGAGCAAGTTAAATCCGGAGATTAATACCTCGTTAAGTAATGATCACTTTATGAGCACTCAGAGATTATTTGAAATAGCAATGACTTGATGATCTCTGCACTGTTAGGGAACAGAGGGGGAGGACTAGATAGACTGAATGTTGGGAAAGTGTTAGCTGAAGTACTTCATTCTCAGTCGCTGGCTCGTAAAGCGTCTTAGACTCGAATACAATTGGCACCCATTTGTTTCGAGAAAACCTAACTTAAAAGATTGATGAGGAAAAGGCAATCCAGAAAAGAAGTTTGGCATTAAAATCCAATTTGACGGTAAGGTCCGCGAGCTACAATACCAATATACTCTGAATACTAGGAACTTAAACTGGAAAAATCCAACATGTGGTCACCAAGGCACGGGGTCGAACTCTACGAGCGAGAACAGGAAACACCAGGTTACCGTTATACCCAAGAAGTCAACACCAACACTAGCAAGTCAGAAGATGTTACTAGGTGAAACACAGGTAACTACGAAAGCAGGAAAAGTAAATGATTTTCTTAAAACTTGGCATCGTATAACAAGTGACTTTTTTGTTTTATCCTGCATAGACGGTTATAAGATTCCGTTTGCTATGAAAGTGGAAAAATATTTTGTTTCGAAAGAACAACAGTCGTGTAGCCAAGGATATAAGGATATAATATTAGCATTGCTATCGGGGCGATAGAGCCTTGTACATTTGAAGATTATTTCATCTTATTTTTTAGTTCCCAAACCAGATGGTACAAAACGTTTTATATTAATTTATTTAAAACAGGTAAATAGGTTTATCAATACAGATCAGTTTAAGATGGAGGATATATGAACAGTATTAAAATTATCGCAGAGTGATTTTTAAGAATCAGTCGATCTTCAAGATGCATATTATCTAATACTCATCGATAACAATCGTAGAACATTTTTAAGGTTTGTTTTTAAGGGTAGATTCTTTAAGTTTTGTTGCTGCCATTTGGTTTATGTACCAGCCCAAATCTGTATAGCTGTATGTTTAGACGACATTCTTGGTTTGAGGCATTATTTGAAAGATAACATACATGCAACGGTATCCGTATTTCCTTATTTAGGATTTCTTATAAATTGTAAAAAGAGTTTCCTCATTCCGTAAACCTTTTAAGAATTTGTGATAGACTGTAAAATTTACATTAAAGTTAAATTCACAAAAAGTAAGTAAATTGATGGTGATGTTAAGATGGTTTACTGATAAACGATGTTGCAGAGTTTGCGCGGTTAGTAGGACATTTAATCTCAAGTTGTCCTGCAGTAGCTTATGGGTGGATGTATAGTAAACATCTATAAAGAGAGAAATTAGTAGCTCTCATTCTTAGTAATGGTGATTACGATCATAAGATCAACCATGGCCTTCACAATCTCGTGGACAGAGTACTTCTTTTATGCATTTCCAACTTTGTTCTTTAGTTTTTAGAGTTTTGAAGAAAAGAATATTAGAAAAATCGGGGGAAATTTTTTTTAATTGTGCCTTTATGGACTGCGCAATCTTTGTATCCCGCATTTCTTTCTCTGTTTTTAGGGGATTCTGGTATTTTTAAAACTGATGTAGGTTTACTTCTTTCTCCTTGCAGAACAATATACAATCCATTGGCAGCCAAGCTTACGTTGACGTGTATCAGGAACGCGTATTCCTTAAGGAATCTTTCAGTGTCAACATATTATATTTTTTAGCGTCTATCTCTAAAACCACACTTAAGCAATATGATTCAGCGCTAAAATAGTGTTGTTTTTTTTGTTTGACTAATAGAGTATATCCTTTTAAATTTGGTGTTAACTATTTGTTAAATTTTTTCACTCAGCAATGATGCTTTTTATGGAACTTTGAACACCATAAGATCAGCGATGCCCTTGATTTTTCATAGGCTGATACATGCAAATTTCAGATAGTAACTAGATCTTTTAAAAGGATTTTTAGGCAAAGAACTTTATTGTTCAAATATGAGAAAATGTAGGATATGTCACTTGTTTTAAATTTCATCAAGACATATTTTCTTTATTTATATTATATATATATATATATATATATATATATATATATATATATATATATATATATATATATATATATATATATATATATATATATATATATATATATATATATATATATATATATATATATATATATATATATATATATATATATATATATATATATATATATATATATATATATATATATATATATATATATATATATATATATATATATATATATATATATATATATATATATATATATATATATATATATTTATTTATTTATTTATTTATTTATTTATTTATTATTATTTGTTGTAACAGAAACTTACTGAGGAGGTGTTGATTTTTTTGGCTCTCGTGATTGCACAAAGGGCACAGACGATCATTATAGATATTGATAATATAAAAAAAAATCCATCTAAGATCAAAATAAGGATACCTGATATTATTAAGACATCAACCGCTCAACCAGAACTTTGTGAAGCAAGTACCTTTATACATTATTTAGAACGGACCGAGCTTTTAGGGGTAATGTGAAAAACTTGTTTGTTTGGTTTTCGCATAAGGCGGTGAGGATACAGACTAATTAGTAGGTGGATTAAGTCATTATAATTGCTTCATGTGAGGTAGCTACTTCACATTTTACAGCCTATAGTGTAAGGTATGCTTTCACTTCAAAAGCTTTTTTCAAATGTATATCACTAAGTCCTCGTCAGTTTATAACAAACCCATTACGGGTTGTTATTTATATATTAAGTGTTTAACTTAAGTGTTAGATTAAATATTCAGTTTCTTTGTTAAGGCTGTCAGCCTATCGTTAAATTATATAAATCAGACTAGATTTTGAAGTAGCGTAATAAGTTGCTTGTTGTGGGGAATGTATTAGGTCGAATGAAAATGCTTTTTGCTTTAAACAACTACGTTATGTGTAATCTTAAAGAACAAAGCTGAAATATAATCAAATGATCAAACGAAATTACATAAGTAAATCTCGATCATAATTATATGAAAGCCTCGTTCGAAAGATTACATCCCGCCCTTAAAAAGTAATCTTAAAGGAACCCTTCATTATCTTTAAACGTTATGAATTATGATATTGATAGCAGTCAGCATTGAAGAAGGACCGGCCGGGGTATATTTTTTTCTTTTCATGCTTTGAATTCGTGCCGTCACCTGCATAGTCATAGTACTATGTTATGTGTAATCTTTGGAACGAGGCTTTCATACAATTATGATCAAACTTCACTTAGGTAAGTTCCTTAGATCATTTAATTATATAATTTTTTGAAAATTTTAGATTGCTTTACTCAATATTAGTAGATTACAATGAAATAATAATAACGAAGCTCTATCGAGACGAAATTTTGAACGATTTTCTTAAAAAACTTATTTTTGCTTTTATCCTAAAATTTAATATTTATAAAATAAAGTAGATATGTGTAAAAATATGTTTGGAATGGCAATAATTTGAGTAACCTATTTTTTTTGTTTTGACTACATCCCCTGCTAAGGTCAAAGGATGCGCTAATAGTAAACTCTTAAAATACCTTTTGAATAATCAATACTGATAAAACAAAAGGCCAACATGCGAAAATGAAAAATACTGTCTGCGATTGGAAAATATTTAGTTATATACTCGTCCAAATTATGCCACATAATATCCAACCAAAAATAAATAATACAATTTCGCGACTAATTAAAAAAATCTCTAAGTAATTGAAATTAATATTAATATTTTTTTTCTAAATTGCGGAAATTTCATTATATCTGAATTCAAATTGAACGCTTTAATCTCGTGTCGAAAACCGCAGATTTGTGCAAAAAAATTGCGACCGATGAATTTACTTTCCGTCTCTTACGCGTTTCCATTAATAATGAGCATATATAGTATTTATTAATTCAATAACTACAGCCAATTCATGACGTCCCGATGGAGGTCCGAAACTAGAACGGATATTTTCCCATTAAAGTAGAATAATTATTAATGTCAAAGAGATTTTCAATGTTGCGACATCCTGTTCAATATGTACAACCTGGTCTAAATTTAGTAAATAATCTCATGTGAGTCTCTCATTTGTTTCAAAAGTTATGAGAAAATTGTAAATACAAAAACAATTTTTTTTAATGGTATACAACATTTTTTAATTTTGTTTTGAATTGGTTTTGATCTGCTTGAAGTTTTTATTAACAATAATACTTACCTAAACCTACCTAAATTACGAGAGCCTCATTAACTAAATTATTTTTGAAAGTAGATCACTCACATTTGATATTCAAGTGTTCAAAATAAACGAATATATTTGAATCATTTTAAACTGAAAAATCTCGATATTAAGTATGTCATATAGCCAGTTTTAATACTCTTATATTCTCTTATATATATATATATATATATATATGTGTGTTCGAAGTGTTTTCGGAGCGCGAGCATTGAAGATGCCAATTGAGATTTTGGCGAAACGTCTGCAGGATTCCAGTCGGATGCAGGATTTGCAGAATTCCAGTCGGATGCAGGATTCCAGTCGGAGTTCAACGAGCGAACGGATGATATCCCGGAGTATAGTGTCATCACATTTTTCCATCCGTGAATCAATACGTGAGAATATATATATATATATATATATATATATATATATATATATATATATATATATATATATATATATATATATATATATATATATATATATATATATATATATATATATATATATATATATATATATATATATATATATATATATATATATATATATATAATATTCTACATTTTCCAATATTTACCCTTCCTTCTGTCTAAGACTATTGCTATATTATTAGTTGGTCATAACAAAACTATTAGCCAACAGGGCTCTGTTAAGATTAAAAAATGAGCAAGATAAAGAACTTTGATGGAGTCGTGGATGATATACATAGGTATACAACATAGAAGTTGTAGGTTTTTATAAGATTATTTAGAAAAAATAATATATATGGTGTGCCATTTAAGAAAATCGACATTTTTTCAATTTAAAATGATCCAAATATATTCGTTTATTTTGAACGCCCAGTAGCATCTAATTCAAATTCCGCTTCTTTTACGTCATCTCCGCATAACGCTAAAATCGAATATGACGCTATTGTAATTTGTGAAAAAATTTGGGAACTGCTATTTTTTTAGAAAAATTAAAACATTTGAAAAACTATTAGTTAGGTATTATTATTAATTAAAAGTTGGAGAATTTTCAAATGAATTCAAAAACAGAGAGTTCCATTTTAAAAAGTGTATGTTTCATTCGTCACACTTTTTTGAGCCACACTGTATACTTAAAAGTAATTTTAAATCGTGCATTCTAATAATCTGTGCAACTTTTGTAGTTATCATTTTCTCATAACTTTTGAAACTTTACTCTATCGTTGACTCACACTGTACAGCGTATCAATTTTTGGTTATGTGTTGTTGAATCTCAGATGCGTACTCAGTTTTTATGTAAAATATATAATATTTTAGAAAAGAGCTAAAGTAAAGTAAAAGTATTGAACACTTGGAATATATTTGTTTCATTTATATCACAAATTGCTTGTAATCGCAGGGATTCTCTGTAACCAGCAGATATAGAACTTTGCGGTATTCGCAACCCCGTGTCAGATTTTGCTGAAACTTTGAATGCCTCAAACAGAATTTCGCCACTTTGTTTCGTTCCTCAAATACAGGGCGAAATAGAAAGTTTGAACTTTTTATGGCGGTATTATATTTAGGACACCATGTAGATACATATTTTTATTAGAATATAGTGGTGTAGTCAACAATTTTTTCGAGATTTAATATCAACATTGAGCTCCGTTATTTCGAAGAAAATTTCACACAAAGTCAGAATGAACTTAGAACCTCATACGTACTTAATTTTAGTTTTTTTCCAACTATCTTGCCCTTTTTCGAAAGTCAATCAAGACAGAAGATTCCTTCCCTCCAAAGCCTTCTTTGTGAACAAGGTTAAAATTTAAGGTCATATTTTATTAGATTTTATTAGATTATCAGAATTAAAAGGGATGCCGAAAAAGGACCTTCCAGGAACTGTAAGAAAAGTTCAGTTTCCTGTTTAATTAAAGCAAGGAGATACTAATATTATTTCACATTGCATATTTGAAAATATTTCAGCGCGATAGAGCACTTCCTCTTATATCACCATGTATAAATTTAAGTGAATCCGTTGGCCCGTTCGCCAGATACTTCGCCACCCGGTATAACTATATAAGGTTACTGTTAGTTAGTACTTAGTTTTGAAGATTTGCTTGTCAGTATTGAAACAATTTTATGAGCATTTACGAATATTAATTTTCAAAAGTATGTATGGAAAGGGTAGTAAATAATGAAATCTTTTGTGTCATCTTTCGATTATCAACAACGTAGCCTCCACTAGTGCAAAAGTGTTTTTTTTTCAAGATAACGAAGAAAACCGGAAGAAATGTCGAAAACGGTCCTGTAGTTGACAATTTTGTAACTTTTCAAAAAGCCAGAGAGATTTGATGAAAGAACTTCTACTTTCCTGCTTCTGCATACAACATTTTTTCCAGTACATTTTCTGGCGTTTTTAAATTTTCATTCCGATAAAAAACTTAATTTACATTATAAATACTTATGGTAAAAATAATAAGGTACTTACCTTTCCCAAACCCGGTAAGATCTTCACCTGACGGGAAGGCACGTACTATATACGCAGGAGCGCCATAGGAAACAGAAAGGACAATAATTAGTATCACGGGACACGAAAATTCAATTTTGAAAAATATCGTCTTACAAAAAAAAATTATGCCAACGTTGAAATTGTGTTTGCGCATTCAACGAAAAAAAAATAACCAGAGAAAAGCAGAAAATAAAGCATGCAAGTTTAGTAGAAAGGAAGAAGGTGGTCTGGTTGAGGAAAGAGGTTACTCCGGGTGTAAGGAAAATAAACCGAACAATTCTATTTCACCTCTTTATTTTGAAAAATCTATAAATACAACTCTTGAAATAGTATTTTGGACATTAGAAAAATAAGTGCAAATCTTGTAGCCAAATGGAATTCCGAATAATACAAACTTTTGTCTCTAGTCAAAAGAAAAGTTTTAAGCTGAAGGTTTCCTCCTCCGTTGGTACCAAATTTAAACACGGTAAGACCAATGGCGATAAGATGTTCCGCCAGGTAGATTACCCGTTGTGGTCGAGCTGTAACTGGAGTGGTATCCTCCAGGACCGTCACCTCTGGAACGCGATGAGCGTTCCGAAGTGTAACTGTAGCCGCCTGGTCCTCCGGAAGAGGTGCGGCTTACCGTTTCGCTGGAGGTTGAGGAACGAGTTTGAGGGCGTGAGTAGGGATCTCCGTAACGGTTAGAGGAGTCGCTTGTGGATGAATACGAATAGGAGTAAACTTCTTCGGCTGCTCGACGATTACCCGGATAGTCCGTAACCACATAGTGTCTGGGACTCTGAGGAGAGAAAGACAGTTGTAGCAAGCTCTGGATATAGGAGAATTAAATAAAAATGTGTTAGATGTGATGGTCGAGCGATAAAAGTGAATTAACGCGAGAACCCCTTTGTAATCATATGCAAACCTCATTATAATTGCTAATCTCTCATAGTTAGTCCAACGTTTTTAAATTATTTCTGGAACCTCTAAGAAAAATTCAGTCAGATCTGTAAAAGTCCTTGATAAAAATATCAACAAAGGACACTCTTTTTATTTTAAAAAAGAATTACTCGTTTTAAATAAGGTTTAAATATAGCATCTAGAGGATAACAGTAATCCGCTGATAACTACAAAACTTATTTGAAGTACTGTAAAAAATATGGATTTTGGCCTGTAGAAAGCGTAAACGTAGAGCACTTTTACTGGAAAGCGATGAGATTGTTTGCTGTCGACGAAATTACTTGAGAGGTATAACTATGAAAGTTATATAGTAACAAAAATGTGGCAAAAATATAACCAGTGCTCGCCAGGTTTTCATGGAACGCCTCAAAACGCAACAAATTCGTTCATATTGGAAACGAAATGGGAAGGTTTATCGACTGACTGTTCTTCTTGGGGTGCTGTCTTCATAGTTCATTAATCCCTGATATTTTTCAACCAGGAATATTTCTTGCTATCTATGCCCTGTTACCAGTTTTAGGAGTTTATATTTACTTCCGAGCATTATATAACCAAGATAGGTGGTTTTTCGTTTTTTGACTACAAGTACTAATTCTCTGTCACACTGTGCTCGCCTCAGCATCTCCTCGTTAGTGAAATGATTACGAAGTATTCACATTTTCTTAATAGTGTTAACCTTCAGAGACTATGCTTCACAGTCGTACAACAGAACAGGATGTACATAACACTCACAAATGGATATCTAAGACTCAGGGTAGAATAATAGGAGTGACGGCATCAGATCAAAGCTCGCTGCTCGATCTGCGATCTAATTTCTGTTTCTGGATTCAGGTTGTTCATAATCCAAGTTCCCAAATATTGGATTTTTTAATCACTTTTAGTCGGTCACCATCTATATTAATATCTGTTGGTGGTTCTAGGGTTTTGATATTATATGTATTTTAGTTTTGTTAGTATTTACTTTAAGAGCGTAAAGATCTCCTACTGCAGTGAGTTGATTTAGCAAGCGCTGTAGGGCTTCTGGGCTGTCCGCTATTACCGCTGTGTCATGAGCACACCTAAGATTGTTAAGCGTTATACCGTAGATCTTAATCGTTTATCTTATCTTCAAAAATAGGTTCAGGGCAGAAATTAAATTACATTCTGGAAAACTAAAACCTTTTCTAATTCCTTTTTGTGCTGATTCGGTTATTATATTGTTATACTTTACTGCAACGGTTTGATCCCAATACATTTTTTTATGATTGTAATATAGTTTTTTATCCTCATGATTCCAATATTTTTAAGAGTTCCACTTAACCTATTCGGCCGAATGCCTTCTCATAATCTATAAAGCATCCTATAAACATTCCCTCACTGTGAAACTGTGACTGGCCGATATCCTGCTCGCATTATCTGAATATACTTGAATGAATAATTAAAGAATAATTTCAAGAAATGACTCTTTAAACTTATAAGCCTATATTGATCACATCTCTTTGCGTTTGCTTTTTTCGGAATCGGAATGAACTCTGACCGATATTTTTTTCTATATTAACATGATCTGGTCCACGAGATTTTTGGCTTTTGCTGTTCTTTATTGTTTCGACAATTTCCTGTTCGAGTGTCTTGAATTCTATACCTTTGAACAATCGCTCTAGGTAGCACTTCCAGCCTCTACTGAGATCCTCGATATCCGCAACTGCCCTTTGTTATCAACTAGGGGGTATATATAACGTTCGTTGCTTTTCCTTGCCACCTTATTATTGAGTCCTGTTATTTCTTTCCAGTAGCTCGATTGCCTCACATTTTTTATTCGTTCATTTTTCTTTGAATTCTCGCTCTCATTTCTCTCTTTTCTCTGAATGTTCTTGTTAATGTCTCTATACTTTTGTGAGTTTCAGTTTTTATGTTTTCTCCGTTCTTCCAGTATTTGACGTATTTTTATTGTAATCAAAACTTTCTTCTTTTTTTGTCCTTGGTTTCAATTTCTTCTCTTTCAGTGATACTTGAATTAACCAGCAGAAAAAATGAATTTTAAAATAATTTGATATATTACATTTACCAAATTTACACAAACCGACTAAAAGCAGTGCAACAAGAGGAGAAAATGTGGAATTTTGTGTACTTGATCGATCCGACCGTCAAGAGGGGACGACAGTTTCGGAGATGACGAAGAATATCACTAAAAAATAAGTGGAGATGACCGTTCCTCAGCTGAAAGGAATGCTGGGATCAGAATAACGTCAATTATGTTTCATTCATTAGGGTTTGTATAATGTCTTACTCTTGTTAAATACAAAATAAGAAGAGTTGCTCGAATTTATCTTTTACTTTAAATAGCTTTTGAAATGTTACTTCGACCAGAAACTAACAGAAAATTGACAACACTGCTGAGTAATTGTCAAAAAAAAATTATGGAATTTATTAAGAATATTACCCAAAGGAAAATGATAAAAGTGTTGATGAAAATTCACTGCCAATAAAAGTTTGCCGTCATACGTCGTTCATTCATTCGTGCTATTAAGAGATGTTAATATGCTTTTGAAAACGTTTGTTTGCAGATAATTACAAATCACCCCGATACTCGTCGATACTTACCCCGATGTTTACGAAGTTCGAACTGTTAAAATCGAACAAACTAACCAGCGCAATAGCTTTAGAAAAGAAAAACAGGTACGTATTCGCAAGCAAGACGTTTCAATGCCCTATCGAAAAATGTCACAAACACAATCAAGTTGGACAAATTTCATTTGTTAGAATAAAATTTCTCGCGTCGTTGTTTCACTGGGGTTTATTTTCAATAATGTGCGGTCTACAAGGAAACAAAAAATCAGAATTAAAAATTAACATCTATTAATATAAAAGCTGTAATTATCACAAAAAGGCGGAAAGCAAATGCGTTCGTAATACTATGAAAATGCTGAAATATCTTAAATACGTTCGATACAGATAGATACATTTGCGAAGTTTAAAGCATGCGTGAGTTAGTAAACTAAATAATATCAGTTACAATTGTTTTATTCGTATTGAAATACTCGTAACCGCGTAAAATGGTGTAAAAATAATCCCCTCCCCTAAAATACATGTGACGTTATGTATCAACCAATAGTTAAGGGCATGACACTCTTTTAAACTTCAGCAGTATTGTTTTTATCGAGTTTTATTTGCTTCAATATCGGAAATATGGTCGATAGTAAAAGTATATTATGCAACAAGTGTGGTATACGGCATATGCGTTACGAGTTTATTTGGCACGAGCGGAGCGAGTCTTTAGTAAATGAGGGACTTAAAAAGTTTACCAAACGTGTTGCATTGGGTATATTTTTGCAAAACAACACGAATACATTCACTGACATGTCCGTGAGAATTGACAAAATTCAAGTCGTACGGTATAGCTCCGAAAACATCACTTTGCTCCCAAACCCGTGTGGTAATACCCCCGAGATGTGGGAAGTGGCTCGGGTCCGTGGTAAACGAAACTGACGTAGTAAAATGACACTTTACGCACGTTAGATCGCTGTATAATTATTTATTTTACGAAACAAAAATAGAAAAATACTTTCTTTCAATAATAGTACAGCCCATACCGAACCCATTCGGAATATAAACCAAGTCATCGTTTTTACCATTTCGAATGCTCGTTGAAAATTTAGTTATCAGATAAACACCGTTTCTAAAAATAATTAATACTCCTATATTAATTATTATCACATAATAGTTTTATCTTTCGGATGTTAGCTATTCGATGCAAAATAAGTAATTATGGCCTTTTGGTCGAAATGTTTAATATTGCGGTCAAGTTACTGAAAAATTAAACGGAAACAGAACATTAACACAACTCTTATTGATTTGTATACAAATTACGGCAAGGATAGGCAATATCACGCTTGTCAGCTTAAACGCGTGATCTAAGAATGATCTGCAACTTAATATTAAAAGTTCTCTTTTCATATGGAACTGACATAGACGGAGGAGCTATACAGAGCGTTGGTTGGTTAGTTTTTAAATGAAATAAAAAATTTTGAGTGGTTGATTGATACAGAATTAATATTTACTGCGCATATTAACATTTGTTTCAAAAAAGGATATATGAATTTAAA